GACAGGCGGGGGGCGGAGGGGAAGCGATCGGGCGCGGGACGTGGCCGCCGCTTCCTAAGGGAGTCTGAGGGGGAGCCCAGAATGTCAGCGGGAATAGCGCTGAGGCCCCCTTACCCCCCTCACCCTTTTTAGGTGGCTCTTGCGATACGAAAAGCGGGTCAGTATCTGTCAGATGCCTCATTTCCAAACCCGATAAACCTCATGTAGCAGACCGAGATGTGTTGACTAAGTAAAAAAACCTGAAATAGAGACTTTTACTTATGTCTTTTCTATGTCTGTGAAGAGCAACCTCCCTCTCTTGCCAGTGAAAGAAGGGAACTGGAGGAAAATGAGTGGAGAATAGCTGAAAAGAGGAATTTCTAAAGGATGTGATGCCTCGTGGTGATTCTCATTGGCTCTATCCATTCCTCCTGTGCAGATCACATATTTGAGAAAGTGAATCCCGAGATGGAAAAGCTGGGATATGAGTGCAAGTGCCTTGGAGGAGGGAAAATAGATCATAATAGCAAAGACAAGAAAATTAGGGTGTTTGGGCTCTCTACAGTAAGTATTCTGTGTGCCTTCAAAACCTTTGATTTCCCATGTTCTGGGATTTTTGTTTTCTAGTGTGATGGCTCTTGGCAATTTGGATCACAGTGTAAACATTAACTGGAAAACTTGTCTGGCTCACTTGTGAGATAGTTTAGAAAAACACTGTTTTTAAGGGCATGAGACCAAAGCTAAAATAATTGGATAACAGTGCAGAATAATATCAACGTGAAGTTGTAATTAAGACCAAAAAAACCCGGAAATTAACATCTCTTGACTCAGAATCTTTTAGTCTTATGGGCAGAGCAGGAATAGCCCATTTGTAGCTGCAGGGTCCTGATCCAGCTACTGTGTGATCTTTATTTGCCAGTAAAAATGCTGGTTGGTAATGACCAGCTAAATTGGGGATGTTGCTCTGTGCACGTGTCGAGTGAGAAGAGTAGAACCAGTTCAAGTGTGGTGAATTTCTAGTCGGTGCAGATGTAGCTTCAGGTAAATGTGTTTTGTGGGAATACCTTCAAGGAGTCTGGAAACGTGTTCTGGTTAAGTTCAATTTCTTTATGAAATACTCAGTAAATGGTAATGATTTCTTGACTTTAAGGAACACTTTTGGTGTCGCTCTGATGAAGCGTAGCTGTTGCTTTAGTAATAGCGTGAATAAAGATTCTCACCTTCTAATGTAGACAAGAAAATAGTTCTATTAAGGTAAATGAATTTTTTTATAAAAGGAGCGGTTACGTCGAATCTGCCTGCCTTAGATGAGCAGTGAAGGTTGGGCCTTGAATGTGTTAAGCTTTTTTAAATGTTAATGCTGCTTTTGTTCCAAGATGACTCTTGCCACCTGGAATGATATTAAAACAATAACCCTCTTCGGGGTTTTTATGTAGCGGGAAGGCAGTGTATAATGTTTATTCTGCTAAATTCCTGTGAGTATAGGTCCTCATCATAACTGCAGTTTTAAATAGCGCTTGATACCTGTATTTGATAATTCAGCTGCCAATTTAGTGTTAGAGGCAGGGGTCAACTCTTGCTCTTGTAATGCAGTGTCTATGGAAAATACCTTGTTTCTCTGCATTTGGTACCTTGGTGCTTACTGACGAGCACCATGCAAAAGCAGAGAATTAGTATCACGAGGGCTTCTGTCCAGCAGACACCTGGAGGTTCAAAAGACCTCAGTAGCAAGTCAAAAATTAGTATATTAATTAAATTGTTTAAGGCTTCTCTTTGCTTGGAGATTTATTGTCAGACTCCAAAACAGCACTATCTCGGTGCTACCAGAGAAAGAGTCATTGACTTCTTTCGTAGCAGATGCTGTGCTATTTGCAAATCTGGATGGGGTCTTGAGAGTGGCCACCAAGCTGTAGGTCTGTTCTTTACAACTGGCAGTATAAACCTGCTGTATTTCTGATATAACTGTATTATCTGGTATTTTTCAAAAGCTTGCATTTTATAATGCATAATTTTAAGCTGTGTGGTTTAAATGCTGGTTTACTTCAGCAGTTCCTTTTGGGGCAGAGTCAGGGATGAATAGGTGTATGGGTTTTGATAATGTCATCTTGAGCTCTTTTTTTCAGTCTCCCAAGTTAAATATTTCAGACAGAATATTACTGGAAAAAGACGGTAACCTGTAAATCATGTGTTTTTGTCAGTAGACTGTATTGTTGTGTAGGAAAGGCTTTTTGACAGGGGAAAAATTTGTAGTTCTGAAATAAGATATCAATATAACTTAAGTCACATGAGGCAATAATGCATAGGCACCTTCTACTGTAACTTGCTTAAATTTCAGTGAAAGAGGAACACTGTGATCAGGGATTTAAATGAGGGTTAAAAAAATCACGAGTCATCTGACCTTGCCTTAGTTTGGAGTTGCAGTGGCTGAAGAGCACAGATTTTTAAAATTACGCCATTACCAGCTAAGGGAAGATTGCAGATAAATAAAAATATGGAGACGGTGATTTCTGCAGTCGCTAGAATAATGCTTACATGTTGACACACGTGGCTTCTTACTCCCTTTTCCTTCAGCTGAGCTGAATCAGTTGGTTTGATGCTCATGCCTTCAAGTGGGTCAATGCAATCTCTGTGGTTTAAAAGAGCAGTTGATAAGTGGTAGCTGAGGGGCTGGAAACATTTTAAAACCAAGCTTTTGGCTGGTGAAATCGTGAGGTGGAAAATGCATCCTCTGTTATTTGAGATGGCTTACCCTTGTCTCACTCATTTTCTACAGGTGATGGTGGGGGGAATTGGAGAGGACAATAGAAGAATAAAACGATATTGCAAGAATAACTTGTTCAAAACCTGTATTTGATTTGTACATGAACTAAAATATCGAATCATAACTCGATAATTTTGAGTTGACAAGAATGCGAGATTCTGCGGACTTAACTTTCTGTATGTGTCTAATAAGCACTTGTTCTTTCTTGCAGGGCTATGGGAAAGCAGATCATTCAGTCACTGTAGAGATACTGAAAAAAGTGTATCCAGATTATGAAATTACGTGGACAGATGACAAGAAATAAATAAGCTACTTACTACAGCAACAGGCAGTTCAAAACTGGTAACTCTGTGAGCTGTACTTGAATAAATAAAGCTTAATGTGTCTTCTGTGTATGTTGCCATAAATCTGGAGTAACTGGACTCTGCTGTAATTCGTAATACTGTTAGTAATCCCCAGGCATATTTTTCAGATTGCAGTCACAAGCCTTTTTCCTGTTCCTCTTGACATGCCACCTAATTAAAGGCTCCTGAATCGTTTTACCTCCAGTATGTTTTCATACAGTCCCATCGCACGGATGTATTTGGGTGTCCTGGTGTAACTAAAACCAGCACATGAGGATCCATCAGGATTTTACCATCAACCTAAACACTGCAGGACCAAACTTTTCCCTGGTCTTTCAACCACTGCATTTTCAGTTTATTTCCTATTGCTCTTCAGGCTTTTCAGACTTTCTAATCCACATCTATAAAAATGGGGGAGGGGGGGTGGGCTGGGGGAGTTGACACAGTTCTTCACCAATGATCTAAATCTTCAGTTTACTCCACTGTTTTGAAAACTCCCTATTTGTGATCCACACAAAAGTAATGATCAAGAGCTTTTGTGTTTCTGGAAGACCCTTCCCTATAGCAGATTGATTGCAGTGTCAAATTCTGACAATACTTGGTTTGCTCTGATCCCTGTACTACTTTGATTTTCCATTATGATGTTTTTCCCTCTTTTTTTAAGATGGTAATACCTATCATATAGTTAACTACGTCCCAGCCAGACTCCGTACACCCAGTCTGAAGCAACTTATGCCACCTGCTTCCTCCTGTTGTGGGAGGATGTTGCCCTTCACTTCTTGTGAAGTTACTTGCTATAATTCGCACTTTTTTTCTTTCCTGCCAGTCTTCTCTTGAATGCTGTTGTGGGTTTCAAGGCAGTACCTCTTATGCTGATGCTTACATTGCTGACTTGCAGTCCCAAGAGATATTTGTATATAAATTGTGTTTCTTTGCTGTGGTTCCTACTGCACTTACTGACCAGTATTTGGTGGTACGTGGTGGCTTTTTCTTTTCAGTGTTCATCTGACTCTTGAAGTACAAACAGTATGAAATTTGAGAGGCTTTGGTCCAGTTTTGATCACAAAACCCCCCTGCTGTTACTGCCTTATCCATCTTACGTCACCCTTCTGTATCTTTGTTTCAGTTGGTTGAGCAGAGGGCGATTTCCTCTTCCCATCCTCACACCTCTCAGTCCATTCCTTGCTGGAGGAGTTCCAAGTATCTCCATCCCATTGATCACTTGGGAGCAGCATCTCTCGAGCCTGGTACTGTAGGTCTCTTGGCACCCGCTTCCCCTCACACGTAGCTTGGTCTTTCCTTCTGGGAGCTGTTGGGTTTGCTCTTTGTGCTTCTCTTCATGCTTTTGCCCAGAAGCTGTCTGGCTGCAGCACTTCAGCTGCCATGATAGCACTGATTCCAGGTTTGATTTTTCTTAACAAGACTTTGATTTCGGAGTGTGATTAAATGCCCGTGCACCCAGTAACCAAGAATAGCATCCAAGTCAATAATTTGCAAATTGGGCACTTCCCAGTTTGATTTTCCTCCTGGGCTTTTTCCCCTAAGCTTTAGTGAAATAACTGTAACGGATGCCATTTAATTGGTGCCAGTATATGAAACTGATTTTTTTTTTAATAGCCTCATTTCCCAAAACAGGCAAATAGTCTTCAAACGGAAGTCAACTGTTAAGATTAGCGCCTGTTAAAACAAACAAGCTTTTTAATTTAATTTCCTGAGATGTTTTATGAGTGATTTCACTGTTTCTCTCCACAATACTTACGGGAAAGACACAGTTCATTCCGGATTTCTTAGTGTGATAACTGTTTCAAAAAGTGAGGGGATGGGGCAGGGAATGAGCTAATAAATTGAGTTACCAGCTTATCTCCACCTTTGTTTCTTCATACAAGACACTGAGCCCGATATAAGCGTTTGTGTCATTAAAATAATACTTTGAGGGTTTTCCCAGTTATGTTATTTTCTACTGAAATGTCATTTTGGGAAATATTAAGTATTATGTACAAGTATTATGAGTGAAAGATTTTTTTATTCCAGATCATGAAGAGAAGCAGGGAACTGGTCACTGAGGTGGGTGATGATTTGGCAAGTAGAGAAAGCCTTAATGTTGTAGGTTACAGAAAACAGTATTGATGGCAAAACCCAACAGAACACCCAGCCTACAAACCCAGGTGTTCAATTCTGCTTCCCCTCAGCACATACATGCTGACTGTTAAGGACAGAACTCGTCTGGAATTATGGAAATCCCGATGCTGATTTTGCTGACTTCACCTGGGAAAAACATCATTTATTGATTCTCATCTGTAATTCTGAAATGGGACCTTCATTATACTGTGTGGGGTTTCCTGTTTTGCAGGTGTGCAGTCACTGTGATTGTGGCTCTAGCAGTCTTCACTTCTAAAAAATCTTGATTCCGTATTTGCATGAAAACAGCTGTCTTTGAGCAAGCCAAGAATAAAATGAGGCTGCTGAGCAAAGGAGTAGTATATTAAACCCAAGATGGTGAGTTTGACTGGGGAGTATTTTCAAGAGGAAAGCATTATGGTAGAAGATTGTACCTTCTTGTTCTTAACCATATTGTCATAGTGGTCAACATTTCTTACTACTTTAGGTACCGTTCTCTGCAATAGCACTAGACTTAGCAGGTATAGAACAAACTATTCAGATACTATGTGCAAGCCACGATTTGCCTCAGGACTGAGGTTTGAAAAATGGCAGGCAGTAATAATTTTTGTTTCCAATTTCCCAGTTTTCACAAAAAAACTGCTTACAGTACTTTATTGATCTGCCAAAGCTAAACCTTCCTTCTGTAGTCAGTCTGTAGCCAGTTGTCTGCCATAAGTAAGTTAAGAGTTGATGCAGAAAAATTCCAAAGTGCAGTCATAGCCGTGGCACAACTGATGGCTTTCAGGGAATTGTTTACATTGGAAAAGACCTTTAAAATCATCAAGTCTAACTGTTAACCCAACACTGCCAAGTCTACCCTAAACCATGTCCCTGAGCTCCACATCACAGACCCTTCCCAGGATGGCAACTCTCCCCCCTCCCTGGGCAGCTCCTTCCAATGCCTGACAGCCCTTTCAATGAAGAAATTATCTAAACCTCCCCTGGCACAACTTGAGGCTGTTTCCTGCTGTCCTGGGAATTGGGAGAAGAGCCCAACAGCCCCCTCTCTGCACCCTCCTTTCAGGGAGTTGTGGAGAGCAATAAGGTCTCCCCTGAGCCTCCTCGTCTCCAGGGTGAACACCCCCAGCTCCCTCAGCTGCTCCTCACAGGAATTGTGCTCCAGACCCTTCCCCAGCTCCGTTCCCTTCTCTGGACACGCTCCAGCACCTCAGTGTCTGTCTTGAAAACTGACCCCAGGATTTGAGGTGTGACCTCACCAGTGCCCAGTTACTGGAGGACTTTTTTCCGCTCTCCCCTATAAAAAGAGCAATTTCAGTGTTTTCCAAAGCATCCCTTTAAAATTGTCTGCTTACAATTGTTTTTGAAACAACAGTAGTTGTTAAGGCTCTTCTGTAAAGTACAGGAAATCCTCTATGGCTCTATCTTAATAGCAGCATGGGCAAAATCGGATGACTTTCATAGCCGCCGATGACACAACAATGAAAGTCATTTAGGTCACTGCTGTGGTTAAGTTTCTTTCCATCCCCTCAGACTATTGTCCTTTCCCCCATACACTGAGTATCTTTGCATCCAGTTTGCTGCAGCGGTTGACCATCTACAGGTTTATATTTCCGCACGGGCGGCCCGCGAATTACCGCTGCAGTAAAGCAGCGCGGGGCAATAAGCGGCAGCTTTGCTGTACCTCTATAAAGAGCTGGGTAGTAGCTTTTTGTCCAGTTTTAGTTAAGACAAAACATGCAGTGGATTTTTTTGTGTGTGAATTGCTGGTGATAACAAGCACTCAGGACCAGGTTTTGTAATTCTTTTTGTTTATTTTCATTTATGTAAGGTAATTTCTTCAGCAGCATCACTACCTTCAGCCTGGGAGAGAGGAGTGACTCGTACGCAGGCTGATCTGAACACCTGCTGCCCTGCCAAACTGCTGAAAAGATTGAAGAGCTGTGAGTGTTCAGTACTACCTCCAGCAGTACCCTCCAGTGAGTTTTGAACAGGGGTTATAGTGTATGAGCAGTTTGATTTCTGGAAAAATACTGTAAAAAAACCCCAAACCAAATCCCCAACCCTCCCCAAAACAACTCAGCACGGCACTCTCGTTAGCAATCTGCTTTAACAGCAGTTTACCTCCTTCATCACCTAAAGCTCGGTTCTGTCACCATCGTTTCCTGGGTTGAATATGTAGGTTTATTGGTTGATTGTTTTAAGGGGATTTTCTTGTGTAGAATCTTCTTTCAACTCGGCTTCTAAACCCCCCCAAAAAAATCACTTTTATCCATTTCTAAAACCAGCATGGCTATTTCCAATTACTTGCTGAGATTTTGAGTGCTAGGGCAAAATCTGAATGTGTAAATTCCCAGACCACAGCAGCAAACACTCTCTGTTACACATTTTCAAAGGCTTGAATAAAAGTGAGTGTGCATTGCCTGCGGAAACATTACCAAGGTGTGGGACAGCGCACAAGGGAGAAGTACGGCCGCATCCCCCTCTGCTGGCAGAGGACAGGGGTGCAGGCAGCCGATTCTGAAATCGGCCATTCCTGCAGCCAAACTGTATCTGAGTGGGGAGCCCATCCCTCGGGAACGGCTTCCTGCACCACGTTGGGATGTTAAATGACCCCTTCAGGCTGCGCTCGACAGCTGCCCCTGTGATGGAGAGTTCTGGCCCTGCCACAGAACGCGGAGGGAGACTGGGGACAGTGACTTCCTTCATTTTTAAATACATACAAACGGCAACTGGCATAGACAGATGGGAGTTTAAGCAGAACCATTCCATTTTTCTATGATAAACTAAAATAGGACGCGTCCTTCACTTCTAGTCAGGCATCAGAATCTGTCAAACATTTCAATAGTGAGCATCCTTAATTTGTCAAACCAGAGTAACTCAACAAAAGGAAAAGGCAGAGATAGAAGAATTAAAACATTTCATCTGTAAGATATCTTCTTGAAGGACCAGGGGCTGAATTCTAACTGGAATCCTTAAAGGCCATTTCCATAATACATCGCTGCAGTCCTTCATCAATTACTTTAACTATGCGGGTGCTGAACACCTTTCTCTCTTTAACGAATTCCTCAAAGAGGTGAATACCCCCGCCAACCCCAAAATAATATGCTTTGCTTGCCAAATACACCCGTCCGTTTTCACCCAGGAGCTGAGCCAGCGCATCGTGCAAAGCACCGTAGGAGTCAGGATTATAGATGGTCTCAGATGTGAGAATGACATCGTACTTCGAAAAGGGTTTGTGGCTGTTTAACAGGAGCCAGCTGACTTCAGACCACTCTCCAGAAAAGAATCTGCACTGGGCGAGCACGTCGGGTAAGCGCTCCGCTTTCCTGGCCTTCTTTGAAGGAGGCTTCCCACTTTTTCTGCCGCCCCCGCTGCCCACCTTGCTGCCGTTGTTTACACAGTTAGCCACCACGTTAGGCAAAGTTATTTCGTCAATCACCGTGCTGTTGTAGTCCTGAAAATGGACTTTTTCAGCTTTACCCCTTAATGCAACTATTCCCAGCAGTCCGGCCCCGCAGCCAAGATCCAACACAGTCTTGTGGGTAAACTGTATGTCAGCCTCAGCAAGGTAGTCTATGAGATCAAAAGTGCATTCCCAGATTTTCAGTCCTCCCTCATAGACTCCTGGGATGAGATCAGAGTGAGCAGAGACGCTTTGGGACACGATGCCTTCTCCATCGGCACCATCCAAACACATCTTTTCCACCGCAGACATTTTTACGTAACACAGGCCCGACACTGTTTCCGTGACTTTTTTTTCCAGTATTTTGCTGAGATCGTCGGGAATGTTGTGCTCTCTGGCAGCTTTCAAGCACTTTTTCTTTGATGGCACCTCGTCTTGTTGCTTGCCAGCACCCAGCCTCGGGCTGGACCCTGCCGGCGCATCGGCAGGTTGTTTGCTCCCCTCTGCGCGTTTTGGAGAGCGCGGCCGTGAGTCCGTCTTACCACGAGCGCCTGGTTCGTGGTTCTCATTTTCATCCAAAGGAAAGTTAAATCGAAAAGCCATTTTCGGGAACAGCAGTTGAAAAATTCAGCTTGATTTATTACAGCCTGCAACACCTAAGCAACGCTGATAAGATAGCTGTATTGTCTTCTTAGGGAGGCTGCTTTTGGGTGGTTATCGCTATGGGAAGAGTGCTCTGCAGGTCGAATATCCGATGTTTTGCCAACGAATCAGGTGAATTACTTCTGGAAATAGAGTAGGTGGGTTTACATATCGTTAAACTGCCAAATATTAACACAAGCAACGCGCCTAATTGTAGCATCTTCATTTTCGTTTAAAAAGTGGCTTTTCTAAACACTCCCATCTCCAGAGAGCCGGTGTGAGCCGTGAGCACACCCCTCACAGAGTACGGGTACCCGCAGGGAAATGAAGGCCGCTGTTCGTTCGGGCACCACTCCCGTTTCACCCTTCGCGTTTCAAGCGACGCGAAAGACCAACGCGCAGAGAGGTTGTTAAGGCCCAGCTGCCCTTCCCTCCACCTCGGCTGAAGCACGCAGGTTCCGGTTTATCCCCACCGCGCCACCCCGTTAGGCCCGTACCGAGCTCCGGTCGCTGGACGCGATCCCTCTCCGCGCCGCCCGCGTGGAGCGG